ATTCAAGGACTTGGCTTCAGATGTAGGAACAGAACATCACACGTCTGCTGACTGTCGATATTGCTGCTAACTCCTCAGCGTACAGTTAAGTGGCTCATTCAGAGTGAACACACAACTGTACATCGCTTGAAAGCACAACGTCTAACGATTCAAACAGTATAAGGCATTTTGAGATATCAATACCCAAAGCAGCAATAGATCCTTTCTTTGGAATGTAAACGCTGCACAGAAAAATGCTTGTTTCTCACCTTTCCTGTCGTGTAACCAACAGAATGCCTCCAAGATTTTAGTCATTTTTTTAGTTTAAAAAAAAAAGAAAAAAGAGGATGAATGTGATGTTCTTTTCACTTCACTTTGACGTGCTGAAAATAAGAAAAAAGTGCCTAATTGATTGATGATCTTTCCCCAGCTGTCAGCTGCTCTGTTGAAGTGTATGTTTATCACCGTCACTGTGCTGTGATTGTTGCTTCTTCTCACTTTTATATCATCATGACTCTTGAGACTGTCACCTCAAAGTCACTTTGCAGTGTTTATGACTGATGCACCTGCACCTTTGAGCGCTGGTTGCTTAGTCCCTTTGGAAGAGGGCTCGCTGCTTCATGTTTCTTTGAAAGATCACATGTAGCGGTCATGACAGTTGGGCTTCTTTTAAAGCCGACACATACTGCTGTTTGGCATTCAAGCTACATGACTCATTTATGTTGGTGCTTTTGTAATGGAGATTTAGTGACTTCAAAGTTCTTTCTCATGTGGTGTTTCTGGTATTTTTGTATGTGCCCTGGAGCCAGTCACCTTGAGTGCGATCTTCTGTAGGTTAGACCGTCATAGAGCGTTTGTCCGATCGTATTTACTGTAAGGAAGCCCGGCGATGCTCCTCTGTACCTTGTAGGAGCGCAGGTCCTGCTCCTCGCAGTCAGAATCGCTGTGGTAGGGGTCGTCAGTGGTGGTCCAGCTCAGAATACCCTCCTTCTTCCAGAAGTCACAGACGGGATGGTCCCTGGGAATCTGCATAGGAAGCAGGGAACAATGTGAGTCCAGTGCAATGTGAAGACTTCACACTGAGCTCTCCAACACTGTCACCCATGAGCTTTTAAAACATTTAGTTTAATTTTTAAGCTCTAGATTATTAATTTATTTATAACTGACAATGAATAAAACTACCACATGCAGTCTGTGGCTACTTAATTAGGAACACTTAACTTAAAATGCTCCACAGCGTTACCTTTTAATCACGCTGTTGGGAGTTTTTAAGTTCAATTACATTAATGATGTTATAGGTAAAAGCAGTATTTTGCTATACTTTACCTTTAAAGTGGAAGATTATGACTTTCTGAATTAGAACTGCAGTCATTAGTTGGAATAATAGATGATGTCCATTAATTTTCATATTTTTAACCAAGTAGTGTTTTTGTACTTCAGTTTATTCAGACAAATGTTTTTGGCCCCAGTCATTGGTCAGCTGCAGTCAGCGCTCCAGTTTTAGATGTGTTTTAGATGTGGTAGCAGCGGCAAAGTCCTGCTAAAACCCTAGTTTCATAGTGTCTGACAAACTGACCATACACAAGTTAAAAACGATGACTCTATTTTTAACCATTTCTTTTAAAAACCCACCAAAGCCAGAGAACAACTACACAATACGTTGACAAAGTGCTGTTCTAATGTGTCCTTGCTATCCACCATGACTGTGCTGCATTGCTTTCCTACACAGACCAAACAATCTCACTTTAAGAGGTTTAATAGAAACTGTGATTTCTTCTGGAGTTGCACTACTGAGTTCATAACAGTAAACCTGTTTTTAATTTAGCTTTATCATGTTGGAGTTGCGAGATTAACTGTACAGGTTTGTGTTTACATTTCCAAATGTGCTGCATCATTCAATGACATAGAGTTCATCAAAGTAAAATGAGCTTAAATAAAATGTTGCTTCTATTTATCAGTCATCTAGATCAACTGACCATTTGGTAAAATACTCGTTAGTGGCTGCCTTACTACAGATATTGTACAGTCGATTTGGTAGCACCTTTACGAGAGAGTCAAAAACTGCCAACATTATGGAAGAACACGGGTAATGGATTGCATTAGACTCTATTAAAGTGGCTACTGAGTGTTTCACAATACTTAAATTCAGACAAAGTGTTTGAAGAGTTGAATCTAACATTAAAAGGGTATTTGCAGATGAAACGCCGGCCAGATCGACTCGTCTTTTGAATACTGAAATCTTCCCAAAAAAAAAAAAAAGACAGCACAGCTTTAAAATTATGCAGGGTTTCAGAGCACAACTTTTGGAAACGTTAAAATTCTCTTACTTCCTCCATGATCAGGATGCCACAGCGTACCAGACTGTCAACGGCATCCAGAGCGAAATTCTGGGACGACTGACAGGGCTAGAGAGGAGGAGAGAGAGAATGGGTGAGCTCACTGGTGAAGCAAGGTTAAAGGCACCAACAGCTTCAGCCCGTCACATATCTGAGCAGCGCAGAGTTAGACAGCTGACAGAGAGCATAAGGTGTGTAGTAGAGATGTAGCGCAGATCATAGAGGGAGAATGAGACGCGGCCGGCAGGGGGATGAGAGCAGCACAGATATTTTTCGGTGAGGAATGGGGTGAGAAACATCGCTGCAAGTATAAGAGACAAGAAAGAGCAGGTGCCGAAATGAAAGGTTGGCAAACAGAAAGGAACAGTATTTCTGGCTCAGATTCGGAGCCCTTGAAGTCAGTCTGATGGAGCAAGTACATACAGAAACACACACACACAGGCAGGCACACAGGCACACACAGACACACACACACACACAAACACACACACACACACACACACACACAAAATCCAAAACCTCTCTCTGCCTGAGATAGAGGCAGCAGAGCAGGATGAATGGCTGTTCAGCTCCATTAAACATCCATTGAATGAGACACACTGGGCGTGTGTGTGTGTGATATGAATTCAAACACTCACTGGCATGAAGCCCGGCGGCAGGAGATGGCAGAGCTGCAAGGCTCTCTCAGTCAGGTTGGATTGGCAGAGCACCACATCAAACTCCATGTCCCCTCTGACCTCGTCCCCCTGCACGCCGTCGCTCCTCACCCTGCTGCTGACGCCGCTGAAAGCCACCTCACACAGCATGGCCGACACCGCACATGCTAGGAACAAAAACACCCAAACGTCACGCCGCCAGCTCTTACATACGATGACAGAACAGGTGTGTTATTGGAGGTAAAGCAGAGGGACGTCTGCATGCTACAAAAAAAAAAACCCATCAGGATGTTTGGCTGAACCATGTGAGGACACAGGACGCTCTCTTCGGATGATGGATCAGCTGATGAGATTTTGCTGATAAAAGTAATCTAGGATTTCCGCCATTTACAGTAAGTGTTACGTCTTTATTTGTACTTTTAATCCCTTCTATCCTGCTTTGTCATGTGCTGGTGGGAAAGTTCTGACATCCAGGCTGTTTGTGTCTCTGGACTGTGGAAGCCTTCAAAAGAAAAAATCAAACCTGTAACGACAAATCTTCAACACAATCCATTACGGAGGCTGAAGAGGTTTAACTACATCTGTCTTTAAATTAGTGACCCAGATTCGTTTTTATTAATACAACACAATATCATTAGCTAAATATATCCCAGCTCATGTAACATATTTCTAGCACTTGAAGTGAGCACCCATGTATGACTATTCTACACAGAGGCTCTCAGCAGAACAAAGCCCACTGCCCACCAGCTCCACTTCCTATACAACCAAAACAAGTCATGCAGGATGAATGAATCATGCAAGAGAAGTAGCTTCCTGTACTTCAAAAACACATTATTTTTACCTCCACCAACAATGCTAAAATGGGGCTACAGTATCTATGGCTTCACGCCAGTCTGCCTGTCAGCAGGAGTTGATATGAAACTCTGGTGAGGATTTGGGATCTAGGCTTCCTGCCATTAGATGATTACCATACATTTCTCATGTGTTATGCAATGTTCTCAAGCCTGTTGCCAGGAGAGAACAATGGCATTGGACAATTCTGCAAACTCTAAATGCTGGAATATGTTAAATGCCAATATTCTATATTAAATTCTAGCTTTCTGAAACATCTGCAGTTAGAGTGAAGCTACGAGGTTTGTCAGAAAAGTTCCAGGACTGGTGTCACAAGAGATTTATTTCAAACCCAATAACAAACTACGAGTTTTCCCCTTCAGATGATCAACCAGCACGTCTACAAAGAGATCCTACGGCGTTTGCTTCGAGTTGCGGCAGGACAAGTCGTGGCTGCTTCACCATGACAACGCGCCTGCTCACGACGCCCTGAGCATCCAACAGTTCCTGGCTGAGAAGAACATCTCCGTGCTGGAGCAACCTCCCTACTCACCCCACCTGGCTCCGAGGGATTGTTTCCTCTTCCCCAAGCTCAAGGGGGTCATCAAGGGAACCCGTTTAGAAGATGCGGACGACATCAAGATGGCTGTGATGATGGAGCTGCGGAGGATCCCGAAAGAATCCTTCCAGGAATGCATGGCGGCAGAGAAGGTTGGGGAAGTGGGATTACTTCGAAGGGGGAAAACTTGTAGTTGGTATTTGAAAGATATCTTTTATGACACCAGTCCTGGAACTTTTCTAACACACCTCTTGTGTTTGGACAACAAAAACAAGTATAGATGTGAGAAAAATCATGATTAGGGATAACAAAACAGTGATATTTATTGCAGGTCTGTGACAGAAGGCAGACGTCTGACTTGTTGCACGACCCCGACCTCCACACTCTTACATCTGGAGCACCTCGTCTCTTCATTGACAATGAATGACAGCATTGGAAATAAACTGCGAGCAGCACAATCCTCCTACTAATTAGTAGGGACACTGGGCTGATATCCTAAATGCTGATTATTATGGACTTTGAGAGGAAAGCATCAATGTGTTCCAGTTTTTATTAAAAAAAACAAACAAAAAAACACATGGAAGATAAAACTGATGGAAAAACACTGAGGATTGTTTTTCTGTTTCTCCATGTGGCCTATTAGCTGAGATTGTGAAGGAGTTCTTAGAGAGATACTCCAACCACATTCCTATGATGGATGAAAGAGAGACTAATGATGCAGTCCTACGCAAGGTGATACCGAAACTCAAAACAATCCTCCCATGGCAGGAAAAAAGCAAACTGTCCAGAACAGAGAGAACTTTCCCCTCCATAGGTAGCGTGATCAGAAGAATATAAATACTGACAGTCCATTTGCTGGGGGAGCTTCTCTCTCATAACCCTGAGTTGTGAGAGACTCTGTGCACTGCTGAATTAAATTCTACACATCTACACAAACACAACACTTCCGCTTATATCAATAGTAACAGTATGCTGCCATTAGGAAGCTACATGCTATAATTACTAAATCTTCTTGCATATGAAGTGAAGGGAGTCAATGTAGAGCACAGACGCTATCGCAGACACTTGTGTGACTTTTTTCAATGTATTAACTCTCCATTCATTCTCGTCGTAATGCTCTTCCATCACTCACCCTGTAATTTCACACCAAACCACTCCCATCTCCCCACTTTCCCGCCAGTTATACCGTCTGACCTGTCACTATCACTAAAAAAAAAGAAGGAATTTCCATCTGCAGCGACTTATATTTGGTGATACAGCTCTGTTCAGGGACTCCCCTGCTGGGCCACATGCATACGTGGAAAGTCTAAGAGCAGCAACAAAGCGTCACCTGTTGTGCCTCCGTGTTACTCTGCCTGTGTATTGAAGGCACCTCTGTTTTGACTGCTGTCGCTCTTTGTTTGACTGCCTGGTTTACACTTTGAGAGGCTCTGCCTTTTGTCAGCACAGCTTGTCGTGCCCTCTCTTCAGAGTGTTTGATGATGTGTTTTTGAGTCCTCTAAACCTAAACCTTGTCACTTCAGTGTTTTCCCTTTAAGGCTTACTAACAATGAAAGTGTCAGTGTCGTGCTCAGGGACATCCGGTGGGAATCCTGCTAGCTGTCCTCAAGGACGCCTGATTTTAGGTAGCTGAGCTGTGTTCAGGAACTGAAATCAAGTCGTCAATAACGAGAAATACCAGGGAAAAAAAACAACACACATACACCGATCCGCCGCCACATTAAAACCACCGACAAGTGAACAACATTGATTATCTTGTTACAATGCAATGTTCTGCTGGAGAAAACCTTGGCTCCTGGCTTTCGTGAGGATGTTACTTTGACACCTACATAAGCATCTTTGTAGGCCAAGCATGGCAGTGGCGTTTCCTTCCATCCCCAGCAGGACAATGCTCCCCGCCACACTGCAAAAACCATTCAGGGATGGCTCCAGGGACATGAAAAAGAGGCACAAGTGTTGACCCAACTTCCAGACTCCTCAGACCCAATCTGAGTGCCAGAGTAAGCCCGATTATCGGAGGCCCCCACAGGTCTGGTGTCTCTGCCCTAAAGAGTCCAAACTGTTTGGTTGCCACATTATTCGCCAGGCGGTGTTCAGGATGCAGCTGATATATATAATGACACATGGCAATTTATTCATACAAAGCTGTTTTCTCTCTCACACAAAGACTAACAGTGATGGTTGTTATATTTTAAGGTGTTTAGGTAGTTGATTGGCGGGTTTTCTTTCACGAGATGAAGAACAAGTCCTGCTCAAGTTAACAAGTTTTCTTGGTACATCGATTTTATTTTTTTTAGTATTTCTTTGTTTTTAGTACGTTTCTCAGCATGAGTTCTGTAAAACCATCGGGCATTCCAACAAATCCCAAAATACTTATAATGCAGTTTGTTATTGGCTAGACTTTCATAGGTCAGAGTCGGAATAACAAAGACTTGTGCTCCTGTGAACTGCATGCATTTTTTGGAGTTTATAACAGACTTCAAAGAGGTCTGGATTTAGTCAAAAGAAGAAGAAGGTAGCCTGGAGAAGACCTCGTCTGCTGTAAATCTGAGGCTTGTCTCCTGCTATCCTTCTACTGCCAGGTTTCTGTGTTCCACTGACTTGCTACAGGTGCAAGACTTGATTTATCACAAAAACAGAATGAAGAGGACAATAATAAACAATAACGAGGTGCCATTAAGCCTCCTGAAGAACTTCAGCTGCTGATCTGTCCGCATGTGATTTGCTTGTTTTTAAGTGTAGAAAAAAAACCACTACGTACCCCGCATGTACCCTGACACTCTTCAAAAACTTGGTATTCCCAAAAAATCACGAATATTAAGTTCTCATAATTTAAAATGTCATATTTCAAACTGATTTTCCATATTGACATGCCAACAGTCAGAGCCACTGCCAAAGCCTCCCACAAAAAATAAGGTGCCTGGAGAACACGCGGCCCCGAGATGGTATTTAAGCTTAAGTGAAAAGTTCTGTTCGCTACATAGAATATGTGCAGTCACCCACCTCCAACTGCTTCCAGGATAAAGGTGTGCGTGACAGTCTGGGCCTGGAGGAAGAGGTGAAGTGTGGCAGCAAGGGATGGACGGGGCATGATGAAAGGGTCATTCCTAGAAGAAGAGAGACATGGACCAAATGGAGGACAGGGCTTTAATGGAGACAGACGTCTCACTGAAAGGGGAAAATGCATTTTTGATGAGCAACACTGCTTTTGCTGCTCTTCACCTGGACGGCACGGCGGCGATGATGAGGTGAGGGCCGAGCAGAGAGAGGGAGTAGCGGACGACGTTGGCTAAAGTTCCTCCAAAGCCGACGTCTCTGTTCCTCAACAAGAGCTCGTCGACGAGCCAGTCCACGTCACGACACAGGCCAGACACACTCACGCCCTGCGGAGGAGAAGAAGGAGAAGTTTAATTTCAAAATCAGACGCGAGCATTAACCATCTGGTGACGCTAGTAAGAGACTGGTGGGTATGACTCAGAAAATCGCTCTGACACTACACTACACCAGCACGAAAACCAATTCTGTTTATGAGCGTCTTGGAGTATTGACGGACGCTTAGAGGGACAAATTGTAACGCTGACAGCACCGAGGGGAAATTAGCTTGGCAGACGCACCAAGCGCAGGAATGATGCATACTGGGATGATGCATGTACCTTGCGGTGTCTGTGCAGCAAAAGACTGGACATGACACCGGTGGCCATCACAGCCATGCAGGAAGTTGCAGCTACAAAGAGACACACACACACACACACACACACACACACACACACACACACAGAGATAATGCGGCACAATTTGCATACAATTAAAACAGCAGCTCACAAAGATTCATTTACTATTCAGTAGGAGTGCATAATCATGGATTTACAGAAGATGAGGTGATGGATGATGGCAACGCTGAGGTTTCTGTCTGGATGACCCGGCTGGTCGAGTTCAGATGCATAATGAGAAGAAGGCAGGAGCCACGACATGTTCCTTTTCCCGAACACGCTTTCAGTTCTTCACAGAAAAAGTGAGAGGAGAAGACAAAGACATCAGGTTTAACTAACATAGCTGTATTTTAGGGTGTATCAGGTATCTTGCTTATGATAGAAGTACAACAATAGCCTCTTAACTCTTTGAAAACCCAAAACTTTCCAGCACTTTTGAAAGACATGTTACAGAATGTATTAAAGCCAGAAACTGTAAAAACAGAAAAACTGATTTTTAATTTTTTTGACAGTCCCTGAAGTAATTATTTGTGACACAGAGTTCAGTCTGGACCAAATATAAGCCTCAAATCATGACATCACATCAAAATCTCATCGTTCTACGTGTCTCATTCAAAATCTAGTCAAACATAAATTGTCTGCATGAACCACAAACAGTTCTGGGCTTCTCTGTGCAACAATTAAATCATAGAGTGACCAACAGCTGAGTGAACCGCAGACTGTGTTTATACAAAGCAGACAGGAGACACACATTACAAATAGAAGGAGTAGAATATCTATAGTATGTACAGTCACTATTTTTTCTTCAGTGTTGGTGACACCCGTGGATACTTGGAAAAATGTTGCACATATTTATTCCATTTCGTTATGAAAACAGTCATGACTCGATAATCCGACACTAAATGTAAAACCTTCTTTTATGTCGGATAGCAAGGCTGTCGGATTGTCAAGACGGAGGTCCAGATACAAGGAGGGCTTGATGCTGGAAGGCTCATTAGTTGTTAATATTTATTGTTTATAGTTGTTATAATAACTAGTGTATTGTTAGAACACTACGCATCGCTGGATTTCACGCCGAATTGACTGGTGCGATTGTGCACGTTCTGGACACTTCCACCCCGGGGCAGCGCTCTGACGGGGTGGAAGTGTCCAGAACACACAGCAGTACTTGGCTGCTGATGCTAGTTTAGTTAGCGCTCACACTTCTGTTTCCTCCATCGGTGGCGGTGGGGGAGTGGCAGATACGCTCCACCGTTACCATCCATGTTTACTTCCATAAACACTGAGCACGCTCGCTGCGTGTGACGTCGTCGTGTCCTCT